AAATTCGAAGCTTTCAGCTTCCATTTTGAAACATGGTTAATACTGTGTAACGAAAAAAACATATTTTAAATCAGTTAATAATATATATATATATATATATATATATATATATATATATATATATATGGGGTTAAACTTAACATATATAATAATAATGGTGTCTATCTCCCGCACGTATATATATATTGAGTTAGGAAAAATTTGAGGCGTTTTAAAGTACACATCAAAGTCAATATTTATATATGTGTACATAGACTTATACAATCGCATATGTGCCATTTAATTCCACTAACTTTCACCATCTTTGAGGCATCTTCACATCGTTCTAGGTGATGAACGGATTTAAGTGTTTTCACAGGCTTCCAGAGAATTGAATTTCTTCCCACTAAGAGAATTTTTGTAGAGACCGAACTAAAGGGTAATCTGAATGCGTATGTTCAGTTGAGTAGAACGTGTATGGAAGGGGAACCCAGCCACGTTGGATCAATTTCTGTCAGGTCTGCAAAAGAGACGTTGACCATATAGAAAACAACAGCCGATTGGACAATTATGGGCGTTTTTCATCGATTGCTGCCTTTAATCGAGCCAATCGGCAGTAGTACTTGTCTGAATTGAACCTTTTAAATTTACAAAAGGAGCGCCTCAGTGATTCCGTGCTTAAGTTCCTATAGGCTTATAGTGATATAGACATTTTCTTTCACATAACCCACAGAAAAATAATTACAAGCCAGGTGAATGTGGTGGTCATTACAACAACACATTGTCATTATCACTGGCACGCCCGATCTATCTTCCTGGTAGATTCTCACTGAGGCCCTGAAGAATATTACTCAAGACAGGCTACAGCGTGTTTGGCAGGAGCTGGACTATCGACTTGACGTGTGTCTTGTCACAGGTGGTGCGCATATTGAACATTTTTTAAGCTTTATGAAATTGGTTATAAAATATGCATCCATTTGAATATTTTGATCAAATTTTAATAAATAAATCTTTTATTGTTCAACATTAAGCCTATTTAATTTCGTCTGCCTGGGACATGTTACTCAGATATTCACACGCACACACACACACACACAAACGCACACGCGCGCGCATATATATATATATATATATATATATATATATATATATATATATATTACCTTACGTTGAAAGTACGACTCGGTGTTTCATATTCAGTACAATCTTCAGGTATTTATAATAGTGCTGAAATGCTCGTTACGATTGTTAATATTTTCAAAAATTCTGGGTCTCGTGGAAGCAACGTTATATCGTATATTATTTCTACGTTTAATAATTATATAATTAGAATCTAATATCTGCATTCAAGTTCAAAAATTATAGACTGAGGTTAAAAAAACGAAGAAATAAAACAAAAATTAAAAATGGAGACGCTGAAATGTTTAAGAAAGGGAGAGCGAATCAAGGTGGGGTAACTTTATATAAATAAATAAGTATAAAAATTGTATATTGTAATAACTAATTATAAAAAAATAATATTAAATATTTATAGATGTAAAGATAAAAATAAAAATATATAATAAATATATACATATATTAAGATATAATAAGAAAGAACAGTAAGATTTATAATCCGGTGTACTTAATATTTCTTAGAAAGTTATTCTTAACATCGCTTGACAATGGAACAAAACTATGGTTTTAAGTTTAATTTTTATAATTAAATTTATAAATTTAGTTTCAGTTTTAAAACATGGAAAATTTCTGTGCCGCAATGGAATCATATTTTTAAAAAGAAAATAATTATAATAATAAATAAATATATATATAAAATATATATATATAAATATAAGAATAATTTCATTAAAATATATAATTATAGAAATAAAAATAAAAATAAAATAAAGAGAACAAAGTTATAAATATAGAAATAGAAAGAGGAGAAGTAAAAAGGGACATATTAGTATATACTTATGGAGAAGAAATAAAATAAAATATAAAAATAAAGTTAATAACCTGAAGAGTAACAATAACAAAACAAAGACAGGATAAGATAGGTAACTCTGTGAATTGTTAGATTAATTAGATTAACCTGGATCGAAATATTTTTTAAAAAGCTTTTCCTATGAATGTATGTGATCATAAGTTCACTTTGTTTGTTCATCAAATTGGGGTTTTCATTGTGCTTAAGGATGATATGTTTTTCCAGGAAAATACAAGTTACATTTATCTCCCTTGCCACTAAAAGCTACTAATAGGATGTAGTTATCCATTTAGAGTGCAGTATTATTGGAATATTGACTATTTGTAAGTGTTATTTTGTGTTGGTAATATCGGGATTTCCAGTGGTTTGTAGTGGATCCAAACTAAAATTTATTTTCGCCATTATGTTTAATACTAGCTTTATATACATGCTTTTAGATATGCATTTGGAATTCAGTGGGCAGGTCTTGTTTTTTTTTCTGCAGTTACAAGTTTTTTTTTCGATATTGTTATTGTCATGGTTTTTTTTAAATGCTTGTTAAATATTATATTATTATGATGCGATATATATCGTTCAGTGTTTTTTTGTACAGTTGCAGGTAACTTTAATGTTGTTTTTGTTGAAAACATTTTTCCGTATTAGGGTATACTTGAAATCTTTATGGATTAAATTGATAAAAATTCTACCGATGTTAGTTTTGACATTGCGGTTAAACGGTGGGTTAAACAACATTATGTCACGTTTTCTATGCTTATGTCTGTTGTTATCTGTCTTGTTTTTACCTAAGTTTGTGTTTACTTTTTTCTATGGCATCTACATATTTGGTTTTGTGCTTGTCAAAAATATCTTTATTGCTAGAGTTAGTTGATTGTGTAAATTGTACTGATTTGTGTAAATTATTTAAATTCTAGGGTGATTTCTAGTGTCCTTGCTAATGTATCTATGGTTGTACAATATTTTAGTGTAAGGTTTATATATTCTCTTGTATATATCAAAAGTAACATCCAGTAAGTTGATCACCTTGGTGCTGATGTCAGTAGTAATACCTAATCCATGATCTCTGTAGAATGTGGTTAACTTTTTTCTAGGTCGGTTGTTTGTTTGTTGTGGGCTGGTATTGCGCCGGAGGATAATCCCTTCATCCCTATACAGACCAATGTTTTCGATATCAAATATGTATGTGTGTCTCCAAAGTAGCAGGATCTCCACCAATTCAAAAGCTTTTGCAGTGTCAAACGCGCCCCCATCGCTACAAAACAGTTCGGGTTATTTAGTTTTTGTTTTGTTTTTTGATCCACGTGAAACCATTGTGAAATAAAATGGGTTTCTGGGCTTGTTTAATGATGTTAACTTCCTGGTTACTGATGATGCAATCATTTTTTGCCAGGTTTATAGTCGCCGTTAGTAGACGGGTAAAAATTGTAGATATCAAATTGCATAAAGATGCATTCATTTTTCCTTTTTTTTTATTTTGGACAACCAATTAATAGCATCAGCTGTGCTCCTCTACTGTTTGATTCCCTATTGCTTTCCTAGTATAGCTGCAGGCTCGTTCGAGTATTACCTTGCTAATTTTACTAATGCTGTTTTTAGAAGGATTTAGTAGTCGGAACTGTGGATTATTAGGGATATTTTCCTTATGTTCCTTCACTTTAATGAAGGCTTTTTGTCTATGTAGTTTTTGCACTCTATTGTCGATTTTGAGTTCGTTATTTATTATTATAGCTTCATGTTGTGGTACGATCCACCTAATTTACATAGTGGAGTACCGACCATATAAATATGGTTGGTACCGGGAAGACGATGGAGGAAGTAAGAAGAGATCCAATCCAGAGACTCTGCCCGACTGCGATTAAGTCAACACATTCTACAGGAACAGTCTTCCCAAGAATATACCAAAACTAACTGTAAATATTGTGTACCTTTTCCTTGTTTCAATACATTTTGTTTACGTACATTTTGTGTTGTATTATTATTATTCCATGCTTATCCAAGCTTCAACACTTCACTATTGATATGACTTTCCCATTCTACTGAGGCTTACTTATATATCATGTTGACCTCTTTGCAAAGAGCCATGTGGTAATTGCCAACGTTAATGCAATAATAATTGCCCGTTTTGTCAGACTTGATGATAATTTTATCGGTTTTGCAGATTTTGGCAATAACTTTTTTCATATTCTTCTGTAAATCCTTATTGGTGGTTGTGTATTTTATCTTATTTAACACAGAGAATTGGTCATTTTCAAATCCAAGGTCATCACTAGGTGGTGTTTTCCAAAAATTTCATATTCGTTACAGTTTTCTTTTTTCTTTATAGTGAAGAGTAGCTTCCACCTCATTCTGTGAACGACACTCTCTAATTGTGTAATAGATTCAGGTCAGTGTGGTAATACAAATCTATAAATATTTATTAATATATACTTTATAGCTCTGTATTACCAAATTGAGCACTATTTTGTTAACACCAAAACTTAAATAAAATATTTATTTGCAAATTTAAATATGCGTGATCGCACGCATGTATAGTTGCTTGTATCTATATTTATTTCATTAAAAAAATATATATATATATATATATATATATATATATATATATATATATATATATATATAATGAGAGAGAAAGAGCTTTCTGACGATGCATGCTATATAGGCTGCAATTTGACCTTAGTGTCTAGGGAGAGAGTGTCCGAAACGGTGGAACCGAGTGATATGAATTCGTGAATTTGATGACGGAAGGTTGTTCAACGCCTTGACCAATCACGTTATTCTCCTTCAGACTAATGGTCGACCTCATTTTTGCTTCAAGGACGTTTGAAATAGGGGCATGAGGGCGATGGACCTGGACGTCGATGTGGGGAGACAACGCTGGAACGAGGAGAAGAAATGGAAATCGAGGAAAAGTGGACTCGACCGGAAGAAAATATCAGCGGAGGAAGGCGTCTTCACATGCATTCGCTGCAATCGAAACAGTCACAACCATAACAAATGCTGCGTCGCCATCAGAAGCCGAGGAATAAATCTTCGACGACAGAAGATCCATGGTCACTAGAGACCGACGAATGCACAATATTATCTATCTATCTATCTATCTATCTATCTATCTATCTATCTATATAGAGAGATGGCTAATATTGTGGTATCTATCTATCTATCTATCTATCTATCTATCTATCTCTCTCTCTCTCTCTATCTATATATATATATATATATATATATATATATATATATAAATCTCCCAAACCACTATAATACCACTAAGACGAAAGGGGTTACTGAGTGTTAGAGAATATGAGAAAAAACGCTATTAAAGAGAGGGAGCAATAACATAACAGGAATTAAGAAGACATCAGATAACGATTGACATTACATTTAAATTTTTAAAGATAAAAGTTGACTGGGAAGCAAAATGACCGAAGTGAATTCCACAAGTGAGAAGTCCGAGTGATAAAAAAAAAAAAAAACCTATTCGCATATAACGTACAGTAACATCTGGCCATTTCAACTCTAAACCTAGTACTGCGCTTAGATTCTTAAAGTCTTGGTACCATAGAGGAACGTTCATCAGAACAATTACCATGAAAGTATTTATATATATATATATATATATATATATATATATATATATATATATATATATATGTATATATGTATATATGTATACGTAAAAGTTGAAACTGTGGTCAAAATCGAGCTGTGATTGTCTGTTTCAGGCTTGAACACAATAGTCATGGCCTAAAAATTACATTGAAGCATGAAACAAATTTTGATGTTGACCTCTGTGTCCACTTTTATTTACATAGGATCTATCGATGACATTGAGCACATTTACCCATAAATATAACATACCTTAAAACTATATTTTTGTCATATATATATATATATATATATATATATATATATATATATTGATATATATATATATATATATTGATGAAGCCTGACGATTGCGTCTAGCATAAACAGTCTTTTGCTTTCAATGTATATATATATGACTCCATCGATAAAAAAAAACGCATCACTAGCAACTTTTAATCATTCGATTAGTCGCTGTTATTCGTATATATAGGTTTGTACATAATATCTTCCAGTAAATTTTAAATAAAAATCATTTTCCGTGTTCGAATTTATAGATAAAAGAGAATAAATGCCTAAAATTATAGCTCATTTTCTAAATTAAGTGAATCTTTTTTCTATAGGTAACGACCAAAAGCCAGTAATAAACATTTTGTAAGAAATAATTAACTGCTTTGTTGTTAATAAAGTCAAGAAATCATGTTCTGTTTCCTTCTTTACCAAACGTTGTATATTTTCTTTTGTAAAGACATTCGTTATATTCTTTCTTTACTGGACACCTATTGACTGTCATAATGATTTATACTCTTTCTGCGACCGACTGTCATATATTCTCAAAGATAAAAATTGTCGTTTACTTCATACTTGTAATATGCTTTATAAATAATCAGAGTATTAGCCAGCAGCAGTGGGGTAGAAAATAGAAACAAATAAATATATGAAAAGTTAATGGTTTACAAAATAAATGAAAAATATGCTCCTGCGATTCCTTTCAAATGCAGTTTTTAGTTTTGTTAGCGTCCATCTTTATCGACATCTGCCGCCAGTTGAGAACGCATGCGCAACGGATTTAATTACAAGTGGCTGGCTTGCTTTGATCAGGTCGGGAGTTAAGCGTTCGAATTTAGGGGCTCAAGAAAATTGCTGACTAGACTTTGAAACGGTTCACAATCCACTCAGACAATAAATGCTATATAATGCCACAGAAAACGAAGAGAAAAAAGTTAAAAGACAAAAGAACTATAAACCTTAAGAGATGACAGACAAAATTTCCCGAAAAACGATAAGAGGGACAAAGGATAAAAGGTAAAAGAAAACCAATAAAATTTCAGTTCATTCAACTGTGTCTTTCTTCCTTTCTCCCTTTTTTGCCATTTTGAGTTTTTGCTCTTTTTTTTTTTTTTTTTTTTTGGTGCGCTGAGTTTTATTTTCAACAACTCTTTGTTTTTTGTCATAAAGAATATCCAAATATATAACTTAATCTTCAATTTCAACCGTCTCTTCAGAAGTAGTTCATATGAGTATGAATGGATTGGACTAGTTTGGCTCAGAAAATATCGTTCTAAAAATCTTTAGAATATTCATTACAGGCGTCACTACTCAAATTCTTGGAAACTTTCTCGTACACCCCCCACACACACATACACACGCGCGAACACGCACACACACACACAGAGACACACACACACACACACACACACACACACACACACACACACACACACACACACACACACACACAGACACACACTCACAGATATTACCTTGCTATAATTTATTTTCTTTCATTTTTCACTTGGTCATAACCATTCCTCAATTCATTTTCTTTTATTTTTCTATTTTCAGTTTATCAGTTGTTTCATTTTTTTATTATTTTGTTCCTTTCGTTTATCTAGATATGATGATGATAATAGGTCGACCGTAATCGGAATCATAGTATCAATGTGAACTCCACGATCCTTAGCTGCATAGTATGCGCTTCGCTAGGGTTTGTCCTTCACCTAGACTGGTTGCCAACCATGGTTACAGAACCAAAACTGTCCTAATATTTGCCCATAGTTGGAGGTTCTAAATTCAGAAATGTCAATCTTCTAGACCGGTTGTCATCCAAGGCTATAAGACACAGTTCGTCCTGCTATTTACTCATACCTGAGGGTAGGGGAGAAGCACTGAATTAATACCTTTCCAAATGGTATTTGCATGCACATAAATGTAATGAACTCGACTGAAATTAGAACTTGGCTCTTCGATTCTCAACCCAAACCTATTACTGCAACGGGCCTGCATGATACTAAAATTTACCCAATACAAGTCTTGGGCGCTACTCATGGGGGTTAGTATTAAATGGTATGATGAATGTTGTTTGTAATATGAAAGAAAGAGGGGTGATAAGAAGTGAAGATTAAGAAGATAAAGAAGATAGATAACGATTGTCCCTTGACATGAAAGGTTAAGATTGTCGTGTACAGAAAAGCAAGAGTTTATTCCACAAAATGGTACTTCTTGGAAAAATGCTGTCTGAGTAGAACTTTCTTCTTAGATTCAGAACACAGAGAAAATGAAGAGGATTTGACTCTGTGGAAGTTGTATGACATATCCTAGTTGTAAAGGTCTGAACTAGTGGAACTAAAGAATGGAGCGTTCATCTAAACATTTGCCATGGAAATAGCGATAGAGGAACAATAAGTTTTGCTATGTTGTGTGTGTGTGGGAAACAAGTTACAGATGTAGACGATTTTGAAAACTGAGGATTGAACAACTCCAGTACAGAGAGGGCAGTAATATTCCATTTTTGATAGTTTTATTTAACTCTTGTAAAGATAAAACATACCAGAAAAGTTAAATACTTTCTGGAGTGATAGAGTGAGCCGACTAGTTTCCCAGCATCTTTAGCAATGGATAGTTAGTGATGGCAAGCAAACTCACCTTGAAAACCGTTGGTAGTTCGTTCAATTCTCATTCGGACTCCGCTGTTGTGGTCTTTTGCCAGACTAGACTAACCTTAGTAAATTTCTTCCTTTACTTATTTCTTTTATAATATATTCTTCTTCTTCTTCTTCTTCTTCTTCTTCTTCTTCTTCTTCTTCTTCAAATTTTCCTTTTCTTTTCGTTGTTTCTAGGTTTTTGTAATCTCGCCTTTCTCTTTCCAGGCTTTTCTATTTTTATGCATGTTCTTTTTGCTTTAAATTCTTTTTTTTTTTTTTTCAATTTTTTTGTTACCTTTTATTCATTTTTGTCTCTTCACCTGTAACTTTTTCTTTTTTATTGCTTCCCTTTTTAATCTTAACATTTTTTACACTTCACCTTTTTCTTTGTTTATCCTTTCTTCTTATAATTTTGCCTTTCCTTTGCCTTCTGTCCTTAAACATTCCATTTTTATCATTCGTTTTTTTGTTTTCACACTTTTTAATCCTTCTTTTATCTCTCTATTTCCCCTTTTTAGAACCTGAACCTGCCATTCCTTCAACTTTATCTTTTTTCTTCGGCTTTCTTTTCATTTACTCTCTTCTTCATTATCTTCCACTCGATTTCTCTCTCCCTCTCTCTGCCCCCTCCCTCTCTCTGCCCCTCCCTCGCTCCCCCCCCTCTGCCCCCCTCCTCTCTGCCCCCCCTCTCTCTGCCCCCCCCCCTCTCTCTGCCCCCCCCTCTCTCTCTATTTTGTTTCTCGCTCTTTTCTCTTTATTCTTTTTCCATCTGTTCTTTTTTCCAGGAAACTTTGCAACAGATTCCGACCCGGCTCACGGCCATAACAGAAAAAATTTCGCCAAGTCATCTTGAAACATGAACGCCCATGAACAACGCAGAGTCGTAAGTTGACGTCGTTGTCAACCCAACTCGAAGATTGAAGACTTCCTTTGTCTTACCCTGGGTGATTTATGTAAGTGATTTATCTTGATCTTGCGACTGTTACGTTGACAAATCTAACACTGTCTCAATTTTTTCTGCGGCTGCCAAAATATTTTTCCATAATTCACTTCACTAAAGAGGGACAGTCAACATCTTCACTATTATCATTATCACTCCAGTCACAATTATTATTGTCCTTGCTCTTATTTATTACATGTTTTATTTTTAAAACGCAAATGTTATCAACATTTCTTATAAATAATTCGTTGGAAAGCTTTTTTGGCTCGATTTGAAAAAGTGTATTTATGCTACTTTGCCAATTTTGAAAGAAGACTAGATTAATTGAGCACACTTCAATGAACGAACTAACGTTGAATGATTTCCAGCAAGACTGCTTTGACATTTATAAATTTAATTTAACTTCATCATTTTATTGAAGTATATTTTTCCGCCATGAAATGCCATAGCACGTATCTATATTACAATGTTCTGATTTATCTATGTGCCCTTGTTAGAGTAACGTAGCGAAAACGGAACATCATAGCGAAAAGGTTGTTCGGGCAATACTCTTTAAATGTTCTAACTTGAACAATAAACCAATCTTGACTTCTATTTGAATTATTTCACTAGTATCATTATTTTATGAAAAAATGTTATTCATTTAACTTATTTTTATTTTCCTCTTCATTCGTGAATATTTATACACTTTAGAAAAAATATGTCTCAATTTTAAATACGTCTGTTCAAAAATCATTTAACACCTGCTGATTAGGAATTAGTAGTAAAAACGAAGTTAACATTAAATTTAAATATAGTTGATGTTTGGCCAATTACAGAGTAGCAACTGATTATATAAATTTTATAAACAAAAATTGACTGAACACCAATTTTAAGGGCTACTTCCAGTAGCCTTTAAGCGGTATTTTCATAAAGCTTTAATTGAAAAACTTAAAGACTAACAAGGCTTTCATTGACATCCATCATATAATAAGATATACTTTAATTATACTGGCAGCTATAAATAATGTTCAAATGTTTGGTTACACGATTTAAAATATTTTTAAATATAGCATCTCAAACAGAAAATAAGAGAATAAAAAACAAGTCCAATTGGTAAATACATCCACGTGAAGAAAATCATTTGCTACAGTCTTACACTTTATTGCGTACAGCAGAAGAAAGGATATTAGCTACTAAATGTGTGAGCCGCACTACTTTACCAAATTCTGGGCATTAACAAATAGTCCATAATTCATAGGCGGTTTGATTATCTCCCTTTAAGACTTCTAGGGAAGAAAATGAATATAACGAATCGTTGCGAGAAGGTGATCAATAATCATGGAACACAAGTTAATGATTAAATTTGAATTAAATATGAGTTCAACTGTAATTTCGTTTGTTTGCATGTTTTGTTTTACGGCATATCAATCTCTATCTCATAGGTGGTAATTTTTTTTTCAAAAATTTATTGCTGGTAATCATTTTTACAAAGAATTTCTGGTATTAAAATCTATTTTTACACTTTCATAGTGTTTTGACATCAGTTTATGGGTTAATTATTTGCCAATAGCTGGGACCCTAACAGGGTGGACCTGGGAACACCAGCAATTAAGAGGTGGTTCCACGCTTCTCAAAACCTCCTGATCAGAGGCCTTGCTGTTGGACGTAGTTTATCATCTTACCCAGGACGCGGATGTACTTTATCGTCATACGCAGAACGGCTGTAATTTCGGATATTACTCATATATATATATATATATATATATATATATATATATATATATATATATATAAGTAGATAGATAGATAGATAGATAGATAGATAGATAGATAGATAATATTAATGGTAAATATACACATACATATACCCATGTACACACATGCACATATATCCACATATCCACACAAATACACACATACACATACATACACACACATACATATATATACATATATATGCATATACATATATCTGATTCAATATGTTAGCTCTATCTCTGATACTGAGCGCTTTTTAATAAGTACCGCGCATGTAATATACAAATAATTACACTTACATATATACATAAATACATACACATATATACACATATACACACACACATATATCCACCCATATCCATATACACACACTTTCACATACATATACATAAATACACACACACACACATACATATATATATATATATATATATATATATATATATATATATATATATATATATATACATATATATACATTCCACTCACCTCTAGTTTGAAAAACCCTCTGTTAAATTTTAGTCTCCCACCTTCTCCGTCTATTACCCTCTCTTTTTAACACTAACATTCGTCCCACACTCTCATACTTACACTCTCTCCAAATTCTATTTTTATTTCCGGAGTTGTTCTTTTCTGTGTTCTTTTTGAATTTGTAGGTCTGATGAATTGATCGTATTTACGATTCCAATGGAATAAATTATGACCATGGAATATTAGTGTTTAAGCCTTTTTTTATATATATATATATATATATATATATATATATATATATATATATATATATATATATATATGGTAACAATCAAAATAAATAAGCTACCTAGGTTATAATCAGCTTTAATTGCTATTAAGAAGTTGTAAGTATTCGACAATGTACTTTCAGGAGTAATGTCTGTGTTTATTTAGGGCTTTAATGCTAGTTGTATCATGTACTTGAATACAATACGAGGGGTGGGGATACCGGGCTTGGAAATAAGGCATCCAAAAATTATGAGCCACCTGAGACGAAATTCTCGTGCAAGTGAGTTTGTTCGAAGACCAATTGTTACGAGAAACAATCCAAAATGTAGAACAAAGTAAAATTCTGTGCTGCGGATTTAATTGTTTATACCAGATACAGAAAATGGCGAAATATTCCAACATAATGGACACTTTGTATTACATCGCATGTAGCAAAGAAGTTTCTTACTGATGAAGTATTTGCAATGTTACAAAACTGACCTGTTCAAAGATCTGAGCTAACATAAACTAACTTATGTGGGAAGAGTTAAAAACACTGGGTATAACAGAAAAAACTTACAAGAGTGAAGTGTTTGCCATTAACTGGAATGGTAGAACTTTCCTGATGGAACCATTTTTAAGACGCATT